TCTGTAAAGCATAATCCATATCCAGTCAGTTGTTTTTGAAATTGGGAAGCCATCTAGTCACACACATGGGTATGTGGTAGGCACTGAGTGTGCATTGATAGTTTATTAGGTACTGAGTGTGAATTATAAAGCCTTGCATCCAAAAAACTTACAGTTCACAAACTCAGAGTACATGGGCACATCTGAGAGACATACCACAAAATAATTCACCATAGTTACTTGCGTCTTGAAGAAATTTTCCAAAAACAAACTTTCAAGGAAGCAAAATCTACATTCTGAATTTCTATTAAAATCAATATAGTTTTGGATTTACACAGTGTGACAAGTCATTGTTATATAATATTTCAATCACTCCTCACAATATGCCTAAGAGATAGTATTAATCTTACTACCTTCTAAGAAGAAATTATAGCCTAATCTGTGACATTACTAGAAACATTTTTATGTTATATAATTTGTGATGTCTAGAAGAATGTTTGAATATGAAACTTTCAAAGAACAAATACAAATCATTTTTGTTTCATCTTACTATGTTTTATTTTGTCATGTCTAGTTGTTATCTCTTATTCTTTTCTGATTAGAGACAGAAAGGGAGTGGATCTTTAGATGTGACGAGGTGAGGAAGGACTGGGAAGAGTGGAGGAGAGGGAAACTATAATCAGGATATATTGTATGAGAAAAATCTATTTTTAATAAAAACAAAAGAGACTAACAAGAGGAGAGTACACAAATTAATTTAACTCCCCCCTTTCTTTTTTCTTTTTTTTTTTGGGAACCGGAAATATTGTAAGGAAATGAAAACCTCAATAATTGGGGAAAAGATATGTATTTTATGGTTTGTCTTGATAAAGTGGAGAAAATCCAGAAGGAATAATTCGGGATGAAGGTACACATATAATCACCTGAGTAAAACAGATACAATTAATTCTTTCTATACAACATTAAAAGAACACACTAAGTTAATACGTCTTAGAAAATTTCTGTGTTATATCAGCTGAACATGGTCATTGTTTTTAAATAGATAGAATATTTCATTATAATTGATAAGCCAAGTTATCCAGTCACTCTAAGGTATGATAGACATATAGGCTGTATTAACCTTTCTTCATAAAAATCAGTGGTATAATATACATCCTGCATTATTAATATTATACTCAGGTGCAGTCTTTCTTTTAGCTAACTAGATAGAAGTTGATGTGCAATTGAATGACGTTTTGGATGTTAATTAAACTAATATCTCCCAAGAGACTACACTATTTTTGTTCTAGTACAAGCACCTATCTTTATACATTCCACAGCCACACATTGTTAGACACTCCATTGTCTTTGCTCTTCAAATAAGGAAGCTCACGTCTGAGTATTACGATAATATTTATTGCCTTAATTATTAATAGTGATGTTCACACTTCATGTGATTTTTACCTGTTTCTAATTTACTTTGGTTCTTCATCATTGCCCAATTTTATATTTGATTCTATTCCGGATAGGAACATATTAATATGCTGATAGTTGGAAGTATTGTGAACTTATTCTTTCTATTTTTCTAGTCTTTTAATATTAGTTAATATATTATTTATGGAGCAGAAGTTTAGATGCATTTATGATAATTTATTCTTAAGACTTTGGAGTTTCTTTTTCTAGTGTTCCTTGTAAACGCTCTATGATGTGCAACATTATTTTGCCGTTTTTTTCCAATTATTTCTTACAGTGTGGAGGTTTGAGTTTTTAGATTTAACTTTAAAACCACATGAAACAAATTTTGTGTACAATCAAAGAGAAGTTATTTTGCTTTCTTTAAGTTCCAATTACTAATCTCAGGGATATGATGGGACTTTAGTTTTATTCCTCCAGAGAAATTTACTATTTTGCTGTTTTCATCAGTGTACAGGATTAACTGCAAATTCAGGAGTGGAGGTATGGTTTTGGTGTATCTCCAAGACCTCAAATTTGGATAGGATTTGGTTGGGAGCCATGACTCCTTGCTTCAAGAATTACTTAAAGATGAAATTATTTTGTTTATTCCAGCAGAATGCTTGGAGGCAACCATGTATTTAGTCTGCCTTCTGATTCATGCATAGCCTATTGCACTTTCAGCTCTGTAACTTGTTACTGATCCAGCTCCTCATTCTATATGAGCTCGGAGCCTAGTATCCTAAATCAGTTCCATGCACTCATCTTTGAAATCAAAATTCTAGCTATTAACGTAAATAGAGAAATAGACAGCTTCTATTCTTCCTGTCTCCCTAGGTTTGTACTTTTATTCTGTCTCCAAATATTTCTCAAAAAAATGCCCCATATTTTCCAAAGAATTAGCTGTACAAACATTAATTAATATTTTGGTACTTAACAACAATTTCAGAAAGTATGAGCCATGTTATTTTCAGGAAAGAGACATTTTTAAAGCTTTGAAAATGTATTTTATAGTAAGCATTCTCTATCTTATTTAATTACTATATGCTCTGTATGAGATCATCTAATTGAAATACTTGAGAGTTTCCTTATAGCCCTGAATAATAGTTCTTAAACTAGCCAAGGCCAGCAAACTGTCATCTTAGACTTGAGAGAAATGCAAAGTTTTGGATGTAATTTAATACCTAGTACTCTACATCGTCAGATGAAGTGAACACAACAGGCTTCCAGATGGTTCTGGCACAACCTCAAGTTGGTAGTTGGTATCCTAACACATTGTTAGTTTCCATCACTGTAGGATCAAAACATTAGAATGATTTGTTATGTTCCTTGAGGAATTTATATACTTGCTTCCATTGCTTGAACTGATATTTATTAAACATATATCTAAAACATTTTGATTATTCTGCTACACAATTTTTGTAATTCTGTGAATCTTTTAATTTGTTTGGTGTATTTTGAGATTGAAAGCCTGGCCTGTTGAAAACTATAGTTTCTTGATTACTTTTAAAATTGCTATTCTCTAAATTTTGGTTTGGTTTTATCTATTTGTTTCCTGAAAATACAGTAACAATGTCAACTTACTGTTTTAAGTAAGATCTATTCCTGCAAATACTCAAAACATAATTTCCCACAGTTTTAACTATCTTCCTGTTAGAAAAACAGCTATTTAGAAGTGGTTTACCAGGACAGATAGATCACTCTATGGAATAGCATCATCATAAAGTATCAAAAATAAATAAATATAAGATAGCTTGCTGCTTTATGTGAGGATAAGGATTACCAAAATTTTAGCAAAAAAAAAATCAAGTGAAAGCCTTTCAATTTAAAACATAGTATCTATTTACACTCACCAGAACACTCAAATTTATTAATTAAAATGTATAGTTATATGACCTTTCATTCCTTTCCTAAAGTTTAATATAAATTATTCCATGTGAAATTGGGAGGAGGTAATAAAATTTATTATTTCTCGATATTGAATACCATGTAAAGCCATGGACTATATAATGTGATATTATCTTCTGAAAGAGAAATACAGCATTATTTGGGAATGTCCAGTGAAGACATTGAAATAACGATTCTTAGCGTTGTGAAGCATTGACACAGAGTGAGTTTGAAGGTGATGTGTCAAGTTCTTCCTCGATAATTACAAAAATCGGTGGTCCTGTCATGTTTCTGTGAAATAAACATGTATCCAGTAATCAGTCTGAAACTAACTAGGACAGTTTGAAGTGAAGTATTAGGCCAAATAAACTACTAACTGAACAAGTTTCCAATTCCATTTGACAAAATATTCATTTTTTTAGGACAATGCTAAGTTTGTGGACATGGCTTCCTGTCACAGCAATATTGAGATGTTGTGCTATTGTTCATGAAGTTCTAAGTGCCTCTGCTTAGGACTTTGTGTACCCTTCTAACTGAGTGCTCATACACTGTTTCATCATCTTGGAAATTCTAAATGAAGAATCATAGCTATGACATGCAGAATTTATTCATAGGACATTATTTTAGCTCTGTCCCATATTTATAGATGTACAAGTGCATGACTTTGTAAATGTAACTTCACAAAAAGGAAGGATCATGCCCTATTGTTTGTGTGCTCATGATTTTTTTAAATAGTATATATCGAATACTAAATGTTAATATACTGACTGAGAAAATAGGTATTTAAAATAAACTACCTGACTTAACTTTGGAAAAGACTTCTTAAAACCTCAAAGTTTTTGCAATTGAAATTATAAATCAACATTTTTAATTAGCAAACACATGTAACAATTTTTTCCCACTCTTCATATCTGAAATGCCTCAGATTGAAGGCTGTTTCTACAGCAGGAGCGTTTTTAACCGTGATGAAAAATAGCCAAAATAGTCCTCTCCAATTCTTAAAAATTACTAAAATATGTCAACGTACATTATGATCAACTTAGAAAAATCCCAAGATAGAGTAATTCTCATTTCACTCAGTTCAGTATTCTTCACTTAGAAGCAGAGTATAATTAACCTCAGCCTTAATTATTTCACCTTCAGCTTAGAATCCAGTGCCCACTCTGGCTGCAGCTCGTTAGGATACATGAATATTTATTGAAATGAGCCATTAAGTCTGAGACATATGGAAGGGTTCCTATTTCTCCCAATTCCTTATGTTTGATGTCCCTCCATCACTTTACTGACTCTGTATCTAGAATTCTTTTCCTTTTCCTATTTCTTCTTCTCCTCACAAATCCTTTCTTCCTCTTCTTCACTGGCTCTCACTCACATTTCAAGGACATGTGCACCCTTCCCCAGTTAATATTCTAAAATGTCTCTGGGTCCAGGCATAGGAGTGTGCTTCCTGTTGCCCTCCATGGTGTTTATTATCTGCTACTTGTTTTCTATGCATTTGAAAGTTTGCTTAAAAGATAAACGGCTCACGGATACAGCCTTTGTCTTCAAATATTTACTATCCCAGTACTAAGAGGCAGGTTCAGAGTATATACTCCATAAATGTTTCTAAGTTTATGGCTGGTGTTCGTTTATTTGTCTTTAATAATATTTCTTTTCTTTCCATTTCATTCATGTTTTTCCCCTTCTTTTCTATCCTAACATAGCCTCAATCTTCCTGTGAAGTGGAGAAGGATACCTCCTGATCCTCTTGCCTACACTTCCCGAGGCCTGGAGTTGCAGGTGTGTACCACTAGAAGGTGATCACAATTCTTTAGTAACAACTGGATTCTACTGCTTCTCTAAAGCTTTGCAGAAAGACCTTATCTTTTAGTTACTTTTACATTACTTCTTTAATTTGTGTTTTTGCATGTTTTTACTTCATTCTTCATCCTTCCCTCCTTCCATGTCATACTTTGCATCCTTTCAAAACTCATTACGTCAGAGTGGTAACTTTTTTTAGCTGTTTCCTAATTTTCATTACTGGACTTCCTTTCTTTTTTTATGATTTCTTCTCTTGAACTTAATCTTGCTAGGTTTGCATCATTAATATCTCTCCTTGTACTTCTCTGTGTAGATCAATTACCTCTTCTGCTGTGTTATTTTGGAACACTGATAGTCACGTGAGCCATGCCAGTCTGGGTAATCACATGGAGTCATAAATTCACTTTAAGATGCAGACATCTTGAGTTTCACCTTTGTACTGACATTCTAAATTCAAAACTATTATGCAATGAAACTCCCATGTAAGCATGCCTAGAATAACCAACCCTGCTGTGGTTCCCAAGTGTGGCTTCCAAATCTTCAGCCAGCTTGATGATTCAGACTGAAATCTTTGCTCTCTGTCGCCCTAGCTCAGTGGCTTCTTTCTATGGCAGGACTAAACAATACCCCGTAGTTCACGATGCAGAGTTGAAAACCAAGGAAGGAAGAGTTTCCCACACTTGGCATTGGGGATCGGGGTTGCTATAAGGATCCTATAGCTGTGTGTTTGCTCTAATCTCAAGTGACTGAAAGAACCCAAGAATAAGCTCAATCCGATTTTAGGGAAGTGATTGCTCAGACTTTTCTTCCAATTTCACTGGGTATATTTGTTTTCAACAACATATGAAGTCACATTTTTTTTTTTAAGTGAACAAAACCAAAATATTTTATTTAAGTCATTGCTGAAATGTTATTTTTCACTGGGGCTGATTATCATGTCCTAATTTTAATGCTGCCTCTTCCCCTTGCTCCTAGCTTCCTTTCTTTTTATTACTATCATTTCGGTATATCATTTTTTCTTATTGCTGTTATCCATTGTGTCTGCTCTACTGTTAAAGTATAAGTTACGTAAAAGGGGGTTTACTTTTATGCATTTTCTATTTTAGTCATTCATTTTCCAAACGCCTAGCACAGTACCTGGCATATGTAGGTACTGAAAATGTTGATTTAGTGAGCGGTCAGGGAGTTGACAAGTGATGCCATGCTTAAATCATTTTGTGAAATAAATGTTTAATTTTTATATTCTTCCACCAGAATATTGAAAATATATTTAGCTTTTTGTAACTTTAAACATGAATGGTTTCAAGAGATATTTATGGGTGTTCCCTGTTGTGATGGCATCATACTTTAAAATTAAGTATGACCATGCACATGCTCAGAATGAGTTCCTGGGTTTTGATTATTAACCAGTGGACACTTTCCAGCATTCCAAAGTACTGACTTGTAGTTACCATGTGAATACTTTATGAATAGTCCTTTCATTACCTATTGCTAGGAATAGCTATCTCTCAGCTACTCCTCTGACTGGGTCCATGATTTCACTCTGAAATTTGCATTTACTCACTGACTATGTCTGATAGTGACTAAAAAGTACATAGGGAAATTAGTGAAAAACTTCAGGTGTATCCATTTTAAGAAAGCACTAAGAGGGCTTGGGATATAGACTGCTGTCTGGCATGCCGGGGCCCTGGGTTCCATCTCCAGAACCACCAAAGAGGAAAAAAAGGAAAGAGGGAAATAAACAAAATTGGCCAAGCAAAGCAATTGAATGTGATTACTGAAAAGAAAAAAACAATCTTTACTTTGCATGACCCATGTACAATATTTTTTCTTATTAAAATATATATGATGTGGATTTTAAAAGACAGGAAACTATCTGAGATTTTCAATAAAAGCTGAGGGGTTAAGGAAAATATCCTGAAATAAGTACGGGGTGGGTGTTGGATCAAATACACTATATTCAGAAGTGGTGTCTCAAAGCCTGTGCTCTGGGTGTTTTTGAGAGGAGGGAATCAGTCAGTACTGAACAAATGCTGCCAGTGGTTTTCTCCGAAGCTGCTCTATGACTCAGTATCTGATTTATTTATGTTTCCAACTGAAGTCTTTTTAATAAAGTTGTGGTTATTAATTTTCACATATCCTATTACTCAATTTCATTTAACTTTGTTTTGACCTTCAGTGTTTAGGAAGTGGTTTCCTTTCTGATCCACAGAGTCACATAATCAAGACAATAAGCTGTAGAATTGGTGCTACAGAGAACTGCAAAGACTGACAATGGGTATTTCTTCCTATGATAAAACCATTGGGTTTTGGTGTATTGCAAATGGAACTCAGAGAAAGCTCTCTTTTCTTGACTTTAGAATTAGAAAATACTATAGAGAAGAGACTATTATCAGCAATACTTAAAGCAACATTTTAATATATGGATTGCTGCTACTTATTTATCCATGTTACTGAAGAGTTCTCTTTCTACTTACCTGCATACAATTTTTTTTTCATTTTATATACCAATCACAGATCCCTTTCTCTTCCCTTCTCCCACCCACTAGCCTTCCCTCCCCCTGCCTCAACCCACTCCCTATTCCCTCCTCTAACAAGGTAAGGCTTCCCATGGGGAGTCAGCAGAGCTTCTGGTACATTCAGTAGAGGCAGGACCAAGCCCCTCACCCTACATCTAGGCTGTACAAGGTTTCCCACCATAGGTGGTGGGCTCCAAAAACCCAGCTCTTGTACCAGGGATGGATCCTGATCCTCCTGCTAGGGGGTCCCTTAAGCAGACAAAGATACACAACTGTCTTGCTTATGCAGAGGGCCTAGTCTAGTTCTATAGAGGTTCTACAGCTGTTGGTCTAAAATTCATGAGCTCCCACTAGTTTGGTTTGGTTGTCTTTGGAGTTTTCCCCATCATGAGAGAAGCACCAGGCTGAGCTCCAGGAGTCCTGCATACAATTTTAAATGCACATTTTTCGTGTAAAGGAAATGAGATGAGTAACTAGCATCTTACTGACTTCATTTAGGAAGATGGACACTGAGTTCCTTGGAAATACACTGACCTCTAACAATGCTGATCATGCACTCTCACTAGGAAGGTCATAGGTTTCATAAAGGGATCTGAGTATGATCTACTTCTCAAAGGCATCATAGCTACTTGACTAGCAGTTACCACCAACAAAGAAATAAAAAATTATTCTTATAATTGTTTAGTAAATTTTTATTAATCAGTATTCCTATAAAACATATGGTTTTAAAGGAAAAACAAGATATGAAATAAAAACCTTTGTTTAAGTGTCTGAGAAACATTAATACCTAGAAGAATCCCATTATTTAAAAAGTAGAGTAAAATTGACAAGAACAAAATATTCAGTTTGCAAAATCATTCAGAGATGAATGGCAATTATAAGAATAAAGATGAGTTAGTTTAGCTGTAATGAAGCAGAATAAAAAGAAATGCAGCAGGTAATTCCCAAGGCTTGTAACAAAAGCCCCGAGTTAGTGGCTTTGAATATATATTTTATCTGTCAGCATTTCACACTGATGATTTAGAAGATTAAAGTTAAAACTATGATTTAAAGAATAAAAGTAAAAAGCAATTGTCATATAAATAATGCCAGATAATATAAGCTTGATGAGGTTTATTTAATTACCCATGTTATTTGGAGTATCATTTGATTTAGAAAGTTTTGTTTGATAAACATTTGTCTCTTGGATGGTCATTTTCTGACATTTTCTAAACTAGGCTAAAATGTCTGGGCCCATGGGATACATTTTTCTCCGTCTCCCAGGGAGCATGCCACCATTACCCACTTCCACCAGTAAAACTATAGAATCATTTTTGTTCTACATACAGACAGATAAAATTTTAGTTTTCAGACTTGCACTATATACCGTTCCACTTGCTAGTTGAAGGCGTCTAAAAGATAGTCTACACAGATTTTTATATTATCACAATAAAGGTTATGTACCCTTGTTGAAATTCTAGAGACTACAATGTTGTGGAATAGGGAAGATTCTCCCAGATTTTAAAACATTTGCAAGTACATAATTAGACATCTTAGATATAGGACCAAAATTTAGGCAGAAAAGTCTTTATGTTTTGTATACATTTTTATACACACTTTTGAAAATAGTCTTACCAAACATTTTCAATGTTTTCATGAGGTTAGTTGTTGAATCTTCCACTTATAGTATCTTCTGTGGAGATATTTCCTCCAAATTAAAATATTACTGCCTAGATCAAAGAAGGAAGCTTTTAAGACTAAATTTCCTTAAGGGAATGAAACTCACAAGTTTCAGAAAGCTCACTGAATTTACAAGACTAATGAGACCCCACCTTATGTTTAAATAAGCAGTAAATCATGGATGGGAGAAAGGAGACTCTTTGGTGGAAAGGCCTGAAAACTGGATCAGGGGCTCTAGGGATGCAGCTTTGCGAGTCTTCATGTGTACTGGTGTGGGTTTTAGTGATTCCGCTTTTTGAATCATTCATACATTCATGTTTGGCTGTAAGTAAACCTAGTAATGTCACTGCTTCATTAAGATACACTTGGGTGGAATTGTTGCTTTGCTCTCATTGGTGACTGAACTGGGATAAGAGATATTTTTTCCCATCTGCCCAGGAAACATCAAGCAATTGTGGCACTCAATGGATGGGAGAAGGTCCATGAAGTCCCACCCATCCCTGGGAACTATTGGCTGTCAATAATAGTTGATAGAGAAATGACATTTTATTCAACCCTGGAGACACGGATAATTTCGCCCTACTCCAGAGAATAACTTTCTATCCACACTCAGATAAGAAATGTTAATTAAAGTTAATGGGTCATACATGAAACGAAGACAGAGGAGGAGGAGGAGGTAGACTTCTTCAGAAGGGTTTCAGCGGGAGACAGAGGGACATGAGGGATTGACTAGAGGTTAAAAAGGGTGAAAATTCATTATGTAAATTAATAACATTGTCAAACAACAATAAAAGATGGCATAGTATCTATCATATAGTACTCAACATAGTACTATTTATTTGTTGACTATGTTCATTAGTTAGAGACAGAAAAGTAAACAATAAATGTATGTTTGGTCATTTGAAAATTTGAAATGTGAAGCACTTTGGGTTTTAGAAAGTTTTATTAAGGATGTTTAATTTTCTTCTCTTTCCAACAGACAGAGACTACTATAGAAAGCCACATGCAATCAAGATGTAGTATTGTGGAGCAGAGTTCCAACGAATAGACACATTTAGAAAATATTCCTGTGTGGTGATATTTTATTTGTGCTGAAATGTGGTGATATTTTATTTGTGCATTAATAAATAAAGCTTGCCTGGAGATCAGGGGGGAAAGGCCAGCCATTTTAAATAAACAAAGAAGTCAGGCAGCACACACATTAATCCCTTAGCAGGCAGGATCTCTGTGTGTTCAAGGCCATTCTAGGGAACAGAGCCAAGTGTGGTGACACAGGCCTTTATCCCAGTACCAACCATAGAGACTGGGAGGTCTATTCAGACAGACAGACAGTGAGAGAGCTGTGAAGGAAGAGGAAATGATGTAGCTGGGCTAAGAGCCAGTGAGAGGGCAGAAAGGCAAGGCATATAAGCTTGGGTAGACAGGAAGTCACTCTCTCCTTGGAAGCTGCGGAGTTGGTGAGGTTAGCTGGTGGCTTTCCGTATTTCCCTGATCTCTCTAAGGCTTCAACCCAAACTTCTGGCTCCGTGTTTTTTTATTTAATAAGACCATTTTAGAAATTCATCTACATTCCTGTACTGAAGGCTCAGGGACATACAGAAGAGGGGATAGAAAGAATTTAAGAACCAGAGGACCAGGGAGATTGCTGTGAGATTGTGTCTTCTAGTAATATCAGAAGCTACTCTCATAATGCCTCACCAAAATGGCTTCCCAAATGTGAGCTGGACAAGAATGACTCCAACAGACATGCCGAAGTGTATGGGAGCAAAAGCTCAAAAGAACTTAACCCTGCACAAAGAATTAGGGGCAACTAAGGGATGCTGGGAGTCAGAGGAATAACCTTCCCCAGAGAAGAGCACACAATTGCTTATCAAGTACCAAAGGGTCAGCTCTAAAAACATGTGTAGGAATAATATTATGTATACTGATCAGGTTTTATACACACACACAAATATGTATATATTATATATATATTCATATATGTCATTCTGGGCTGGAGTTATCAATTACAATGCTTACTAAAATTTAGAACTATAAGATATCAGATATCCAATATCACACTTATGTTATAAGTATACATATATATATATATATAATTATGTAATTATAATTACAAAAGTTTGTATACATGTATGGATTTAAACACACACACACACACTCAGTATATTATATATTTGCAGGTAACAACAATTAAAAACCAAAGAGGCCATGAATTTGAAAGAAAGTATGCATATGTGGGAGAGTTTGAAGGGAGGAAAAGAAGAGAAAAATGTTTGCATTATAATCTCACAAATAAAAAGAAAAACATGTTATTTCTATACAATTGAAAGAATTCATTCTAATTGTTTTTCTCCCATATCTATATCATTGCCCAAACTCATCAAACTACAGATTTTTCAAGTTATATGTTTAAATTTATTGTTAAATCTTCTGAGAGCCATTACAAAAACTAGCTGATAGAGTCTGCCTCAGAGAAAGTGTTAATAGAATGTACCAACACAAACACTTGGCTTCACCTTATTTTATAAGTGAGGAAAGTGGAACAAACTGAATAGACGGTGAAGGAAATGAAATACATGCTGGGAATCCAGGAGGGCATTAAGTATAGAAATTGAGGGTAGTGAACAAGTACAGATCTGTGCTTCTCAGGATCTGTAGATGTTTGGAATTAATCCAACAAGTATTGATCATTCTGTGATGGAGTTATTAATGTCATTGTTTACTAAAATTTAAAACTGTAAGTTACAGGTATTCAATATCATTTTTGTGTTGCAAGTATACATACATATGCATATAATTATGCAATTATAATTACAAAAGTTTATGCAAGACTAATAAGTAAGTACTGATTTAACCATGGCATCTTTATGCCTAATTACTTACATGCTTAAATAGTTTCTGAACACATTAGAACAGTGATTCTCAGCCTTCCTAAGGCTGTGCCTCTTTAATACAGTTCCTCATGTTGTAGTGACCTCAACCCATAAAATTATTTTATTTCTACTGTAATTTTTCTACTGTTATGACTCATAAAGTAAATATTTGATAAGCAGGATATCTGACATGTGACCTCTGTAAGAGGGTTGTTTGATCCACAAAGAGGTTGTGAGCCCCAGGTTGAAAACAGCTGCTTTAGAGTAAGTCACGCAGTCAAAATCTGGAAAGTGTCCATTTTCATACTATCCAGGCAAATATGTTTATGTGCGTGGAATAAAACAACTCTTTACATCAGGGAAGCATTGACTATAGACTCTAATAGTGTAGGTTTTGTCCATCTTAGTAATGCTAATCAAAGTAAAATGAGTTAGATATTAAAACAATTTATAACTATGACATCAGAGTCAGATTTATAGACACCAGGGAAGTATTCAAAGGAAGTCGTAATGACAGAAAGTTCTTTATTTAAAAAAGTAGCATATAAGATTGAGGTTCTTTTGCAGTAACAATAAAATAAAATCAAAATTATCAGTGTTTACCCTTATTACATTTTAAACTCTTTGGGTTTTAATGTTTAGTTCTTGATATTTCAATATATTTGAAATTTTAACACAAAACTTGTTATGACCTCAGACCCCAGCAAGGCGAAGGAACTGGGCCTGAAGTAACACTTCTAGATAGATAGCTATTGTCACCTGATAGCTTCTGGGGCGTAGAGATTCTTCTAAGAGTGTAGCCTCCAGAAAGTTAACTACACTCCAGCAGAAGGCCACACACCCAAGAATATTTAGGCAGCACAGACTGGACTTCATGCAATCAAAAAAAAAAAAAAAGGACACAAGCTGGGTATGGTAGGAAGGAGAGTGGATCTGGCAAGAATTGGGGGGAGAGGGATCAAACATCTTATATGAAATCCTTGAAGAACTAATCAAATATACTAAAAAGCACATTTGTCATGCTTGACAACAAATAAAACCCTGCATAATGCCATCTCTAAGGTTATAAAATCAAGACATTATTGAAAGCCTTTGCTTGGGAAGTGAAGAACACAATGGTGAGCAGATGGAGTGAGCAGAGTTCACGGTCTCATAATTTCCATCACCAGTCAGCCTCAGATTTCCCTCCCATGCTAATATCTCCATAGGCTAGCAATAGCAGAACCTGCCCCACTCCCCAAAGCTTCCTTTTTGAACCTTTGCTAATCTATTTTTCTTGTCTTTCACTAGCATTCAACCTAGTGCAGATTAAGTTTAATCACAGGCTAAATATACTAGGAGAAAAGTCTTAAAGGTTGATATTTAATTGAATTAGGATACCACTTGGGTATACCAAAATGAACTTAAAATGAATAGAGATGGAGATACCAATTTGTATGCATTTAAATACCCATCCATCATTAGCAAACCTCCCTTTCCTCTTCCCACACCCACTGCCCACTCTAAATTACATACTTAAGCTAAATGGAAACATAATGGGCTGAGCCATATGTAAATTACCCTAAGGATCAGCCTGTACTGTCACAAAATACAGCTTCTTAAGATTTAATGTGCACGAAGACCACTCAAGATCGTGTAGGACTATTGTGTGCCCAAGAATTCTGCATCTCTAATAACATTCTAGGTGATGCTTATAGAGTAACTCACAAAAAACATTTTTTAAAGAGAAAGGCTTTCAAGCAAAGACTGTCAAGCTTTCTCCAAACTATAAAGTGGAACATTCTGTAGACTAGTCTCTATTGCTCATGGGAGCTGAAAATGTGACGGTTTGCTATACATATTCCAGTTGTCAGTCTCAAAGCAAAAATAATTATGACTTTCAATAACTAGTATAAAACCCACAGTATGGATTACTGTGGATTATAGATTTAAGGCTGACAAAATCCCGAACAAGTCTCATCATAACTGATAAATGACAACTGTACTTTTAAATAAATGATTATCATTGTTAAAAATATATTAGTAGTTCAATTGCTAACATATGAGCTACTAATATTTAATAGCATTTGTAAATCATTTACCAAATTTATGTGTTTTTCTCCTACAATGTGACAATGTCATCTCTCTTTTTATTCCAAGTTCATTAGGCATATTTAATCTAGTTATCTGGAAAAGATACTCGGGACATTGTTATTTACTGTTTTATTTTGCACTGACAGTTACATACATTTTTACCTTTTTATAACCCAGAGAAAAAAATATGATTTTTATATTTTCACAAAAGGAAAAGCCAGATAATGGTAAAATTCATAGTTTCAAAGCCTAATATTGAAAATAAAATGTTGACTTGAAAAATACATTTCAATGGATATTGAAGCATAAGTATATAGTGTTGCTTATCCCTAAATTATGTTTTTATTATATATGTTTTCATCATTTTTCTTGATAAATTTTATTTGAAACACTTTTATATCTCCTTTATCAAGCTCTCATTTTGCAGAGTTGAATATCAGAAAATATATCAAGATATTTGTGCTAACCTTCAACACGGTGGCTATGGCCACTCTTGGGTGACATCTTGTGCAAAGATGTTTCTTCACTTTTCAGGTCTGAATCTTCCACAGAATCATCTGCCTGGCTCTCAGGATGACTCCTAAATGTTGGTGAACACAGACTTTGTCCAATTTCCACTTCCTGTTAGGAAACATTAAAGGCATACATTTTAAAAGCTATCAGTGAGGAACAGCTGTGGTTTTCAGAGGTTTAGAAAGTGGGAATGAGGGAAAGAGGGATTTGTAGCATGAGTGATGTTTTCCAATATGCTTTGGGGAAAATTTTGATAACTTTGCCAAGAACTGCAAACACACATCTGACGCTTAGTTACTTCTCTGCCCTGGGTTCCACTTCTGAATTAGCTTTTCTTTTATGTATGTGTTCTCTCCTTCTCATAAAGTGAAAATAAGGGTCACAATACAGCGTAATATATGTTAATAGATGCAACTTCCTGGGTCTGAGAAATGTCAACGAGAGACTTTCAGAAAATAGCCATATATCAAAATTATATGCTAAAGACAGAAGGAAATGAGTTTTTTTAATGTCATGCTCACCCTATAATGATAATCTTAGCAATTACAGAGCTTCCAAATTACAAACACATTCAACCACCATATAGTGAGTACAGTTTGTCAGTTCAGAAAGATTATGAAATTGCTTCTTTCAGATAGTAATCAAGTGTGCAGTGATAAAAGATTCCCAAAGAAAAAGGCGAAAATATTTAAACATAGTGTCTAGCACTCCACATTTTATAGATTGAGTAATACAAGCAAACAGACCAAGCCCATAATACTAAATAACTTGAATTAATATTATAGAAGATGGGAAATGAATAAAGACAGTTCAAAAAATTATGTAATTTTAAATTATATAATTTAGAAATTATGTGATTTAAAAAATACAAAATTATGTAATTTAAATCAATTAATACACTGAAAATATTTTAATAGCTACATATAAATTTTAGATATTTGAAATAGTGGCTATATTTCTAACCAATAGGCATTCAAACAATTCTGCAACTGTCCTTTGCTTTTAAAGCATTGTCACAGAAGAGTCAAGTTGGAA